TAGTTTCCGTGATAGGAGGCTTTGAAATTTGTATGGCGGCCATCTTGTTTATTTGAATTTCGAACATTTTTTACGTCCCGCGGAAATTGACCAGGATGTATCTCATAAAAATGCACAAAAATCCCCACCACATGTATTATAGTTTTTGCAGGCCGTTGATCATTCGTTTAGATTGTCTTCTCATATTTGATTCTTTGCTTTGGAATCTATCTAATCTATTGGAATTTGGGACGGCTCTGCCAAGTACTTGCTCGATGCCCTAGATGGACTGCAGCGCTACGCCTTCCGTGTTGTCAACGATCCTCATGTAACTGAGCATGCGGAGTCGTTACAGCTTCGCAGAGATATAGCGTCTCTTAGCATATTCTATCGCCTGTACCACGGTGAGTGCTCTGAAGAGTTATTCAACCTTATCCCTTCCTCTCCTTTCCATCAGCGGACCACCCGTGCCGGACTGCGTTGCCACAGTTGGACGGTCAGTTCTATACCGTCCCGCACTAAAAAGTTTGGCAATTCGTTTTTATACCGAACCATCAAATTGTAAAACCAACTCCCGGCGCATGTATTCCCTCCCCTCTATAACATCGGGTCCTTCAAACGTAGTGTGAAGAAGCATTTGGCCAGACCGGCAAAATGACAGTGACGGAGTGAAGATATTTGTGTTTTCCATCCGTTACTCTCATCTCTGGACTGTATTCGCACCTTCCATCAGGCGCGGTGCAGTCATTTTGCCGAGTCACAAAAAAAAAAAAAGTCCGCGTACAACTGCAACGGTATAAATATCTTTTTTCCATCATATCGGGAAATATGCGTTCTATTTCTACCAGTGAGTAAGAACTTGTAGCTTTATATATAATAATAATAATAATAATAGTAATAATAATGAACGATACAAGAATAAAGAAAGGGTCTTAACCTAACCAATGACGTGAGATGAAATTTTCTATCTAATCTTTGATACTTAATTATTAGTTAAACGTTGTGAGCGTTTTGCTAATACGACTTCTTAAATAGGTATTTGAAATAAGCGCGTACGCGTGAGCTTGAGAAGTGATAACAATGAAATCTGCTTTAAAGAGGTTCCTAATAATTTTTTTTTTACAAGATTTACCTATTTCAAAGAGTGTACTCGAAAGTGAAAATGTGACTTGCAATGATATTCTTTATTGCGTGGAAATAATTCCTTCAAAGGACCCCAAAATAAATTAAACCTCTTTCATGTTAATAATAACATAATAATAATAACGCACACACTCAACATAGCCCCGCCCTAGGGAAACCCTGTGGCGCGGGTGCCATGGACACACATAGACAACCAAATTACACCCAAACTCACGAGAGATAAGTGTATGTATAATCTTGTAAATATTATACAGGTAAGGTAAAAAAAGACAATAAAAGCTTAACTACTAGAAAGTAAAACTAGGATTTTTATTTATATGAATAAAATTGGGTTCCCACGGCAAGGTGCCCAAGATGCTGGCAGCGTTCCCCATTTGAGAAATAAATGTAGGCCATACAAATATTACTCCCGGCCCGGGAATCGAACCTGGGATCTCCGGCATTGTAACCGTTCGGCCACGGAGGCAGTTGTTATGTTAAATGTGAATAATCATGTATTTCAGTTACGAGTAAAGACTAAGACCATTTTAAAAGATCTTCATATTTGCCCATTGAACAGGATCGAAAGGTGCAAATCTTTATTCCTTTCACTTCTTTTATGAACGTTTTTCATAAAAAATTAAAATATCCGTAATTCATATGAATTACTTACTCTTCTCAATATTAAGGAAACAAAAAATAAATTTCATTGAAACGATTTTATTCCATAATTGAATTTGAGTTTAACGCGACTTTTTGGGTAATATTCCTTTGTTTGTGTTTTACTTAATTTTAATTAATTGATAGACTTTAGTAACCATAATTTCATTTCCTGCACATGTGTTAATGATGAAACCAGGGTTTATATAGACTTAGATGTAAACGAATATGTTGATTACTTGCACATACATTATCAACATTTTAAACAATGAACAGAAATTACCCTAATTATTCACGACAAGTGTAGCAGCAGATGGACGACATAAAAACAATATTACGTTTGCGTAGTCAAAGGTTTTACAAAAACTATACGTCGCCCATTTAGTTTATGTCTTAGTAAGTTATAATAAAAGCAGAATCTAGTTGAAATTGAACATGTAACAAAGTTAAACTACACGTTGCTATAATAGATATACTTATTGTTTTGTAAAAGATAACAACAACCCAATTATACTTTATTAAGGACATTGGGTCTCAATCGTAAAGATAAACTTACTTAAAAGTACAAACATGTTTTTGTCGTGTCACCAAATATACATTTAATTTTTTTTCTATATCCATAAATAGGCGTATACCGAGATTCTTGAAAAGGTATGTGAATTGAGTTTGTAGGATTCACCTTTCGCGGCACACAAATGTATTCACATTAATTTTTAAAATTTTCATCTACCTGAGGATGTAGTTACAGAAATAAAGGAATCTGCATAAGCAAATTCAAATAGTTTATGGCCCGGCGTGCTTTTTAGGTGCCAAATATTATGGATTTTTAAATTTTACGTCTTTACCGTCGTCACCTGTAGCCTCCGTCTCCAAAAGAATTGAATAGGCAATCAACATTCTTCAAAACAAATGTCTCGTTATAAAAAACCTTGAGAATAATGACGCAAACTACAGAAGAAAAATCTATTCCTGATGGAACGAAATTCCTCGATGATATAAGAATTTTGTACGAAATAACAGCCAAAGTGTATCGTAAAGGAATTGCCACTTGGTTTGATTTCAACTTTTCGTATATAATATACGAGTATATCATATGTATGATAATTACCATTATGTCGACTTTACACCAAAAGTTTTAAAGAACCTGTGTCGGTTAACAAAATAAAGTCTTCTACAGGTTGTACAGATTTATTATAGTTGTATATAATAATTCCTTTGTTGTACGCTGGGGTACACGATTGTCATAATATTTTTTATGATAATGATAATAATCTAGTCAATGAGTGATACCTTATCAATTACCAACTTTATAGTACATAGCCAATTAACACCCAATCCGGGCCTGTCCCGATTCGAATGAGGGTACGCATTGATTGATTGTTATATGAGAATTTTAATCTTAGTTCAAAGGCCTTCCAAAACTATTTGTAGTCCTTTTTCCGCACAACTTTTCAAAACATTAGCCATTTATGGGGAAATTTTCAGTTTGCATCAAATAGAAACACAATTTCCAATGGATATTTTTTCTGTTTTAGATTTGAATTTTATACGGCTCTTTAGATTGTTTCATGAAGCCAAAAACACGACGTTCACTTAGCCGATCTCGTGCCTGCTCGTGCGTTAAGAATACATACGATAATACGTGTATGACGCTTTGGCGAAAAATTCTAATTTCCGGTAACCGGAGTCGATACCTACTGTTCGCTAACAAAGTTTATTCTTTTAACAGCATTGTAAAGCTCAACAAGGTAACACGTAAGTGCCTAAACAGCACACAGTATTTATCAGATATTTCATGTCATAGAATTGAAAACGACTACAGATTGGTTGTCTCTAAGCTGTCTCTGTGCGACTGCCATGCGATCGCGTGGAATATGTTTCGCTACTACGATAACAGAATCTCACTTTTTCTTTTTCAGCGTGACCAACATATTTCTGGTCAACCTGTCAGTGGCGGACTTACTGGTGACGCTGTTCTGCATGCCTGTGCAGATCGCCAAATCTGTCACGCTGCTGTGGTACTTTGGAGAGATCATGTGCAAAGCTGTCAATTATTTGCAAGGTAAGTTTACATGCATTACAATCATCGATCGCTACGGCGTCACGTTATTATATTACTTTTTCATCACACTTGCTCGTAACAGTGTCAAGACATGCAGTCAAAGTTACGTAGACCGTAGACCGTAATGTCCTAAATTATGGCCGGGCTTTGGCTTTTTCGTTACATTATCGCCACCGATTTTTTACGTCAAGATTAAGCAAAAAGTTTTTATGGTCAAAAACCTGAACGTATATTTCACATAAACTGAAAGTATGAAAAAACTAAACATTTGCAATTTAACTATATTTTATTAAATTTATTTATTATTTATTAGCAGTATTATTAGATTTTGGAAATTATTTATTTAAATCTAATACATTGCGGCTGTATGGGTCAGTGCCTTTTATAACATTTTAGTTCGAGTTATATAATCTACGGAATAGCTGGTAAGTAATCTGTTTAAAAAAAAAACAAAAATCCCCCAGTTACAAAATCCGCAAATATTGTGTTGTGAAGCGATATTTATTCATACGACAAATAAATTGTTGTTGTATCTATTTCCTCGCAAATGTGATGAAAAACGTTGTATGTAGCACGGGCGGTAAAAGTTACACGTCATTAAGTAAAAATAATTAAAAAAAGAAATTCTAGCAAACTTTCGTTGGTAATTTCTTATTTATCGCTCTTAATACACAATGTAGGTACATGTACTACTCGTATAACAACTTGGTCAAAAGGCGGCATTCATCCATTTTATGCCAGTTTGCCACTTATAGGAATTCTAACCACATTTATTTTCACTGTTGTCGAAAAATATACAACTGCAAGGCCTCACAACAACGTTGGCAATACCACATGCCGAGAGAGATTTTTTTTTTTCATTCTTACATAGTATTATTGCGATTGATTGATTACTTGAGGTTTGAAATCAATTACAATAAAATCCATCACGTAAATTCATTTAGGAAAAATTCTAAATACGACGACCCTCTTCAATTTATCATTTTTAATTTTGAGATGCGACAGTTTTGTGTTGATTTTAACATTTTAGTACCGGCGCAGTGCTCTGAATAATGAGGACAATTTGTGACTTTCTAATGATTATCCCACTTTGTCGGTCCCAAAAAAACACCTCTATTCCACTTAGTTTAACTATAACTTCAATCAGTTGAACTAATCGGACACAAATATTCCAATTAATTCAACTAGGTACAACTTTTCAAAAAGTTGAACTTATTAGACGAAATTCATCCTGTTAGTTCAACTTTCCAATTATTTAAATAGTTTAACGTATAACTGATAATATTCCTTATAGTCTTCATGTGTAGTAGGAGAACCAGGACATTATGTCTTTGTGCTCCTATCAGTAGGAGAACCAGGACATTATGTCTTCGTGCTCCTATCAGTAGGAGTAAGTAGGAGTACGAGGAAGAGCGAACATGTAAGTTGAACTGATTAACTCGACTAAAGAAATAACGTTAATAGCATTATTTGTATAAAATAATCTTTTTATTTATTTATTCATCAACAATATAAGTTAAAGGCTGTTAAAAATATTATTTTATATAAATAATGCTATTTTAACGTTAGATTTTTAAGTTTAGTTAAATAGTTCAATAATCAATACTCAATCATTTATTGCACTAGGTACATTATGGGCCCAGTAGGGCATGACAACACCGCTAGGTGTTTTATACATGCATAAAAAAATCTGGATTTACAGTTATCGCTTAAACTTTGCTGTCTATTCTATATTATTATACTCTATTTAATTACATATTTATTAATTGTTTAATATCAACAACATGTTCAACTTAACAGTTATACGTTGAACTTGTATTTAAATAATTGGAAAGTTTAACAAACAGGACGAATTTCGTCCAATAAGTTCAACTTTTTGAAAAGTTGTACCTAGTTGAACTAATTGGAATATTTGTGTCCGATTAGTTCAACTGATTGAACTTATAGTTGAACTAAGTGGAATAAATCAAAAATCAAACTCGTTCTACGCAATTACAATAATATGTATTATAAGACATGAGATGACAAAACTATAACTCGAGGCATTATCCATGAGTAAGTCGGGCTCGTATATTCAAATGAGTAACAGATGGAATAAACGACTTACGGCCTTTCTCAGTGTCGGCTTTTGCACTTCAATAAATGTTACTACTAACTATGCTATGTTGAAATTATGATAATTTGCCACGATTGTTGCATGGTAATAGAAGTAGAAATGTAGTCAGTACATCGACAAACGTCAGCCGCTGGTAGCTGTAAAGGTGCCTAACTGAGAGAAAAAACTTTCATAGACTTCTCACAGATGTCGTTAAGGCAAAAAAGTCGTTAAAAGTACCAAAAACAAAGATCGGCAACAAGCACATAGAAAAGTTTGTGGGGTCTGCTGGTTCGTTCTGCAGTTTGGTTGGGAGAGCGTCGGCCTGATGTGCCGAAGACGGTTGGTTCGAACCCAGCCGGATCGAATGCATTTTCCGATCTTTATATTAATAATTACAATAAACTAGTGGAATAATTTCACAAAAAAAGCATTGCATATCATGGCATTAAAATCGTAATAGTCAATAACCTTCATATTAGAATCAATATCATGATGCGTTTACTACTGGAAAAACTTGATAATTACATTTGTCACAACACAAAGATCTGCAACAAGCACATAGTGGAACTAGTAAGATTTGCTGATATGATCTGCAGCTCAGTTGGTAAGAGCAGTGGTTCAGTGAGGGAACAGGCGCCGGTTTGAATCCAGTCAAATCGAAATAATTTTTATTGTGTTGTTCGATTTTGTATCAATTATAAAATAACAATCTAAACATTTGGAAACACCGAACTGCCACCAGAACCATTAGGCGCTGCAAAGATCTTTAAAATTTGATATTTACATCGCAGATCTTAAGCCTGGTGTACAAAGACATTTTATAGCTTTTATCCACGGCCCATCACTACGACTGGTCTATTCTCAAACGCCATCTACCCGTGGACGCGCTATTACTTACCTATTATTAAGCGATCCACTCAATCAACTACTACTATGGGTTTCAAGAGGTAATCCTACTAGTATTTATGTGGTCTGTGGGTAATCCATTTAAATTGCTTTCCGAATGTTTTGTTAAATTTCGCATCACATTTTCCAACGAAAAGTGCTCATAATTGTCAAATTAATACACTCTGAAGTTATTGTTGTTACTAATATTAGGAACAACATACGGCATTAATTTATTCAAATAATTATTAAGAGTACTTCGAAGAGGGTATTGTGGTACTTAAGAGCGACTTATTTGGCATTATATTCGTTTGTTATAATTATGTAATAGTCTGCTGAATGCTGACACTAAAAACAAAGTTCAAAAGGGAACTGTATTTCCTGCAGTAACGGTGGTAAGGGAGATTGTGTGCCTACTTTTGACATAATACGAGTAGGTAGGTATAAACTGCCTCCGTGGCTGAGCGGTTACCATGCTGGACTACCACGCAGAGGTCCCGGGTTCGATTCCCGGGCCGGGAGAAATATTTGTATGGACTACATTTATTTCTCTCGTGAATTTGGGTGTAATTTGTGGTTGTCTAAGTGTGTGTCCATGACACCCGCGATATTGGGTTTCCCTAGTGCAGGGCTATGAGTGTGTGTGTTATTATTATTAAAAAAAATATTCTTATGATCAAAGCCAACGGTAGATTGGGTCTATACCTACAAAAAATTCCTCACTCCTGGTGAGCGATAGACCTTTTCTTTGACACTTTGTCACTTCCTGGGCACTTACCCACCAGGGGAGAATTGATTGAACAAAGTATATTATCTTTTTAAATTATCAAATATTTCACCCCATCCATAACGTTGTAATTAATTCTTAAAATTTACAAAAATATTGATAATTTCTGTTTTTTCTCAGGAGTAGCGGTAGCATCTAGCGTGTTTACAATTACAGCGATGTCAGTAGACCGCTACCTAGCCATCACACAGTCCCTTCGACAGCCATGGATGCCGTCCAGGCGAGGCGCGTGCTTTCTCCTTGCCGCTTTGTGGATGGTAGCATTGGCGATCTTTGCTCCACTGCTTGCCGTTGCCACTGTCCAGAAAGAAAACATACCGTTGTTGTCGAGGACACGGAATGGGTCGGTGAGTCAATTTGTGGCGAGGAAGTCACTACACTCAGTGAGGTCGAGTCGATTCATAATAAAGAGAGATATGAGGATGAGAATGCTTGCATTTGAGGGCGGGTTCAAACGCAATCTCCTATCGAGGTTGACTCCAAGCTATTAGACCGTATTTTCTCAAAGTGTTGGGCTTTGAACGCGTGTTCATAATTTCTGTCAGCGTAATAATTATCTAGTGCACAATTATTTTCGTCTAATTCAAACGATATCTACGTAGCTTTTAAACTAATCAATAACTATGTCTACCACCTAATAAGCATCTACTTACAACCTTTCCTTTTCCTTTCTTTCTTTGTTTCTCACAATATTCTCCGTTAGCGTTAATGCGCTTTTTCATACGAATGAACCAATTTTCTCTGTGAAACAAAATCTCTGAAACATATTTTTCATACTTTTCGACAGCCTCTTCAGGTGATGAAAATCGTTGACCGCGTAACTGGTTTTTAATTTTTGGAAATAAATAAAAAAAAATGTCACAAGGTGCCAGATCGGGACTGTACGTGTGATGGCTCATAAGGTCCACGTTGTTCAAAAATTCGTTTGTCTATCTGGCCGTGTGAGAATTGACATTATCGTGGTGCAAGATGAAACGGCGTTTACTGTTATATGTAGGTATATTTTACGGAGTTTGTCAATAACTTCCGGCAAACAGATGATCATGTACCAATCACTATTCACGGTACAAAGATTCTTCATAGCAACAGTAGCCACGTGTCCAGTTTTATTAAAAAAAAGAAGCAATCATCCGTTTAGAGGCACTTGGTATGCACGTCACTTTAGTTGGTTTCGGTTCATCTCGAAAGACCCATACGCTCGATTGCTGCTTTGTTTTGGGATCGTAATTCCATGTTTCGTCACCTGTTACTATGTAACACACTAAATTTGATGCCCCTTCGTTGAATCTGGTAAGCATGGCATTGCACCAAGTCCGTTTTTTGAGCCTCAGTCAAATTATGTGGTATTCACCGAGAGCACAGCTTTTTCACATCCAAATGTTTGTGTAGTATTGATTGTATTCGACTCATGCCTATGCCTAGAAATGCCCGGATCTCATGGTATGTCACATGCCTGTCTGTTTTGATGATACGGCGCACAACATCGATGTTTTTGTTGTTCACAGCAGTTTACGGGCGATCATCACAAAATTCGTTACTGAGATTCACACGACCACGTTTGAATTCTGCAAACCAGCTATAAATAGTCGTCTTGCATGGTGTTTCATCGCCAAACGCAGTTTGAAGCCGAGCGAAGCTCCGCTGAGCTGTTAGATTACACTTAAAGTCGTAGAAAATCATACTACGAATATTTTCACGAGTTCAAACCATGGTGATGTTGACAACCAATTACTGAAATGACGCCACAATGTAAAAACAAATGACAATCAGATGAAACAAACTATATTCTACAGCCAAAGAGTTCCATTTTCAAATGTTGTAATTCCTTTTTAAATATTGTTTATGTAAGTGGCCAGTTCTGGAAACTTATAGTGCGCCCTATGCATTGACTTACAATTATATGGACGTCGGGTCCGCGCTAAAAAGTGTCCGAACTTATAGGGCGTTAAAATCGTATACAGAGCGTCACTCACGCTTTAGTCTTCGTTTGTTCGACTGACAGCGAAGCAAGCAAAATTAGACAGGTTTAAATAGATTGACTTGGGACATTTTTTTCGTGGTTTTTGTATTAGACCCGTCGTCCATTTATTTATAAGTCAATGGCCCTATGTATCAAAACTTACCTATACACTCTTCGTGCGTCCCCTAAAGCAAATAACAATTGATGCGTAATTTTGTAAATCAAATACATTATTTTTCTGTCTAAATCTTGAATAGCTGCTACTCTTGCGTCAATTATATCAGCTGTTTCCATCATCATTGCCTGCTTAATTGCCGTCCTCACGCTGGCAACAAAATGAGTTTGTGGCTTTTTAATATTTCCAAACTGAACTCAGGATGTGAATTGTTAACTTTATTAACCTTAAACTGACGCTACTCAACGAGTGATGTGGTCCTACCTAATAGATAGTTGGAAACCATGTGGCTGTTTTTAATATTAAAAAACAATTCCATTTTTCATACTATATCTACACTGGTACTGGTGTATTATTAAATTAATATATTAATATAAATTATTATTATTTTCTTAATGGCGGCCACAAGGGCTTGGACTAGTGTCAGTTTTAAGAGAATAATATAAAAATTATGGCGACTGTCGCCAGTGTCAATTTTCCATTATACGTTACCACGGGTTAGTGAAGCTGTCACTGTCAAGAGTAAACTCGAACCATCAACGAATTTAATAAATGAAATTATGTTGTTTTTTTATGAAGGATTTATGTAATTTTCTATAATTGTTTCTAATTTATTTTGCATTCACAAGTAAAATAAAGCCGATTTTATTTTATTTATTTTTTAACTGTATTTGCTATGGAAATTGAAATAAAGTCAGAAATAGTAATAAGAAAACCAATCTTTCGATTTTCCAGCAGCTACAATTTTTGAATTGTAGCTGCTGTAGTATTGTTTTATTATGATAAAAGAAGGTTGGATAACCTTCTTGTTGGAAAAACTTAAAAATTAAAAATACTCTACATTTAATCTACGAGTATAATGGAATTTAAATATCTTAAATATCTAAAACACATACATTTTTCTTCAAGCAACAGCAACATACAAATTGACATGAAATTGAAACGGGTGTCCGAAACATGAGTTGTGTTAAAGTTACTCAAAATAATAGGGGTTAAAGTATGAAATTGCCGATTTGTACTGAAAAT